ATGAGGGATGCTCAGTTTCAAACTGCGCTCAGAAGGTGGCTGGATGTCATCCTGCAGCTGCCTGAGTCCTGCTCAGTTGTGGTGCAGCTGAAACAGTTGACAGATGTTTCAAGCAGGTTGAGAATGATGAGAGATTTGTTCGTTAAGAAGGCACCTCAGACGCTTCTCAAACGCTGCCATTCCTTCTTGCGTTTTGTGCAGTACTTGAAAGATGCTGGTGAATTTTTTCCTGGAACAGAAAGTGGCTTGTCTGGGTTTCTGTGCGATTTGCGCACGTCCGGAGCCCCTACATCAAACATACAGAGCATCATGCAGTCTTTGAACTTTGCACAGCATGTCATTGGTCTACCAGAACTCATACCTCTGACCATGTCGAAACGTTGCCTGGGTTCTGCTGGAAAGCGCAATGAGGGACCCAGGAAACAGGCCAGTCCGTTCAGGCTGGATGAAATGCGGACTCTGCATGAAGTTTTGCATGATGTTTCAGAGGACACTTGGACCCGCGTTTTTGTTGGGACAGTGCTCATGGCCATCTACAGTCGCAGCAGATGGTCTGACCTGCAGCACGCCGAGAGCTTGGACCTGGACATCAACTTTTTTGGAGAGATTTCATATGTTGAATTGAAGATCACCAATCACAAATGTCAGGAGTCTACTGCTTTCAGGAATATTTTTCTCTGTGCAGTTGCGCCCGGAGTTGGCGTGTGTGAACAACCCTGGATCTCTGTGTGGATGAGCGTCAGGGAGGCTCTTGGCATCAGCTTCAAGGCAGGCCATCCTACCTTGCCTGCCCCAGACTCAGATGGCAGGCCGACTCGAAGGCCGCTGTATACAGATGAGATGAAACAGTGGATCAATTTGGTATTGACAAACAGAGGCCATTCCATTGAGGGCAGAAGGTTGACCTCACATAGTTGCAAATGCACCATGCTGAGTTGGCTTGCAAAACATGGAGATGACTAGACCGACCGCATGGCTTTGGGAGGTCACATTTCATTCATGAAATCTGCAGTTGTCTACAGCCGGGATGCTATGGCGCGCCCCTTGCGCATCCTGGAGGCTCTGCTCTTGGACATTAGGCTGTCTCGCTTTTTGCCGGATGAGACTCGGAGTGGGCGTTTCAGAGATGGGCCCATGGCCCCAGTTGGAGCTGATTTGGAAAGTGCAGTCGCCCCCTCAGATGATGGGACACCTTTTTCAGCTGGTTTGGCAAGGAGTGCATCACATGTTAGTGCGCCTGGTCTTGACGTTTGGCAGATGATTTCTGATGTCCCGGCTTCTGGTGTGACTGATGCAGAAATTATCAACATCAACAGCAGTGGTGATGAACACATCAAGGAGGAGCCTCAGGCCAGCTCAAGCGAGTCAGATGCCCTGACGACTTCTTCCAGTGAAGATGAAGCAGGCGCAAGCCATACAGGAGCAGCTAGGCCTGTGAAGCTACCATCGATCCCGGAAAGCTTGAAGTTGATTCAGCATGTGAAATACAAAACTTTGCACTTGATGGAACGACAGAACTTTCGAGTCATGTTATGTGGCCGTGTTGCTGTTGAAGCAAGATATGAACCAGCCACCAGTGCACGCTTTGACACTCCGTGCTGCCACACCTGCTGGAAGCGCAAGGCGGAGTACGAGGGCTAAAATAAGAGCTTCAGTTGTCCTCACAGTTTTATTCACCATGTGCAGTCAATTGCATTTCCAATGGCACATCCAATCAGTTGCATTTGCCATCAGTGTGCATGCAATGGACATGTCTGAAGGAACCATTGAGGCATCATGGGAAACCAACCTCAGATCCTTTTCAGCGCTTTCAGTCCAATCATTGCACAATCTCATTGTCAAACGTTGCATGTATTGCAATTGGATTTATTTTCTTTTGGATTAGAAATTGATGGCTTTGCAAACCCAACTGAATGCCGCATGTGTCCTTTTTCCCTTCATCAAAGGGAGTAACACTTGTCACAGAAAACGGAGTCGAAGCAATCATGTGTTTCGATGCTCTGTGAGATCAAGTGTCATTTTGACTGCATAGACTTGGTCTTTCAAACCAGTGCAGGACAACCCAAAAAACCAAATTTTTCCGTTCATGCCAAGGGATGAATAAAGGAAATAATTTATATATATAAAAAAAATTCAAACGCACTTTCAAGAGGGCAGAAACTCATTTCAGCGTTTGCGCAAAGTAGCTGACTTGCACAATGGCCTTGGTGGATTCAGCTGCGTCGTTTGAGAAGCGATGCGAAGAACTGCAAAATGGTTTGCACAGTATATTTCAAGATGTTAACATCACGCCCTTTTCTGCCTTGGCTTTTGCAGTGGGAACACCGCAAAGCGCTCCTTCAGATGAGGATATGCAACGGTTTGCTGACAGGCTCATGGGTGGGCCTGCATCATTGGCAGAGCTCTCGGTGATCAAAAGGATCCACTTCGAATCAGTGACATTGGTCATGGTTGATGTGCAAAAGCACTCATCGGCCCAAGACTTGTCTGAGCCTGGCCGCACCTTACCCTTTGTTGAGAAGCAGAGGCGCCTGACAGTCCAGCAGGAGCGCATCACTGGCATCAGCCATAAACATGAACAACAAGCGATGCGAGGATCTGTCATCAATCGTTTCACCTCCAAGTCCAGAGGTGGATCAGCATCTGGAGCAGGAGGCTTCAGTGAGCCCGTATATTCCGAGGCTAGCAAGAGGAAAAGTTCCTGGTCGGCACGCAGC